TTTAGGTCATATAATGTATAAATTACATCTGGGACAGTACCGGAGCACGTGACGCGGCGGATAAGCTACAGGAATGTCGGTTAAGATGGTAGGGACACGTCCTGGATACTTTGATACCGTTGTAGTAGGAAAAAGACTACGTCGCAGACCCAGAAATGATGGCTTGACGCCGTTAGGTATCGGATCGCAAGGGTGAAAACTAACAGCGATCGCCGAATGGCTAGAGGCACACTGAACTACTGTCTCGCCTAATGAAATCAAAGCTCGGTCCCCCTCGTACTCTAATCCAAAGTTTCCAAACCTTTCAGCTCGAGTTAAAAACCGTTTTCAGTGCCAAGAAGACTTAAGAGGATAGAGTAAGTCAGCTCAAATTCTAATTTCGCCCCCACTTCCCCGCGCGTCGTATGCTATGTACCGATATGTTTGTAATCACTAATACTGTAAGTAGAAAGGTCGTTAGACACTTATTTCATTAGGTTTATCATATTTATGCCTGTTTTTTAACGCCAAGCCAGTCGCTTCTTATTTTTATCACGGTTATTTCCCATTTTAATTTTACGTCGTACTGTTGCGTAATGTGTATTCTGATCGTAAGCGACACAACTTCTCCCTTCAAAAGCCTAAGCGATACTAACGGTGCGACAGGAATCAAGCTTGAAGACGCCGATAGTTTAGGTAATTTCTTTTTACAGTGAAAATAATGGTATTTTAAAAAAAGTAAATAACATAAGCACTGCTTTATAGTTAGTTCAGTTAGTATGCAAAGTTTCATGATCTTATTTAAAGTATTTTATGAATAACAGCGGTTTATTGTTTATTTTGGAGGTAACTTTGAATTTTTTTTCTATCGAGAAAATTTTACGAAATCGTGTTTTCGTCTAACATAATCATTAACATTAATCCTCAACTTTGCCATATATTTATTTCAAAATTAATGCTGCAATATTTTCGGCATAACGAAGGATCTTGCTAAGCCATTTTACATTATATTTCCCCTTAAGGTCGCTGCATACGTAACGTGTTTTATTCCGGACGGAGCGGGACGTGCAATTTTGGAAATATTGTTTCATAGAAAACGTACGCGATAAAATTTAAAGTGTGTAATGTAAAGTGAGCCGTGGTAGTTCAGATGGTTAGTGCTCGCTGTACATTTCTAAGTACGCGAGCAAACCGGGCTCGATCCCGCCGGCACCAATAAAATTGTGATTTGAAATTTTAAGTGCTGATTTACCACGTGCTTGACGGTGAAGGAAAACATCGTGAGGAAACCTGCATGTCTGTTGAGTTCGCCAACACGCATTAGGGTAGCTTGCTTTCTCTTTTTCATAATTTTCCCTTCGATGACGTATGTATTAAAACGGATAAATGGTGAACTTTACATTAAAAGTTAAAAAGTTAAAGTTACAGCCTATATACGTCCCACTCTGGGTACAGGTCTCCACTCATTTCTGAGAGGGTTTTAGGGCAAGGAACTGTCCGCCGCGCTGCCCCAATGCGTGTTGGCGAACTTCACAGACATGCAGGTTTCCTCATGATGTTTCCCGTCGATCACCGTCGAGCACGTATTAAATCAGCACTTAAAATTGCAAATCACAATTTTATTGGTACCGGCTGAGACCGAACCCGGTTTGCTCGCGTACTTAGGAATGTACAGCGAGCACTAACCATCTGAGCTACCACGGCTCACTTTACATTATACACTTTAAATTTTATGATGTCTTTTAATAATGATTTCCTTTACAGTTTTGTTTACTTTTGGAAAAATAATTCTGCTGCTGAATGCTGAAAACAGTTTATTGTCATTAGAAGTCAAACGGTTACAAAAATTATCTGACAACATAGCAAAATATGTATATCACTCTTTATATCTTTATATTCATATAATATTATTACTCTTTAATTTTCTTATCGTCCAACAAATAAAATTGCGTAGAGAATGATGCCCAATTATGTGCAAATTCGTAATTATTTGTTCGCGTAGCATGTAAGTATTAAGGTCGTAATCATGATAGGTTCTGTGGGTTATTCGCCGAGTTGACGTTCAATATCGTAAATCTTAAGCTTGGTTTACATGCCCTTATATTTTTGATATATGTTACATTAATTTGTATTTTATGTCCACAAATATCATTTTTGCTTTATTCAAATATATAAACTACACAAGTATTTTGTTGATCGAACTTTATAATGTTCGGAAATTTTGCGCTTCCTCATGTTTCAACGTCGGACAAGTATGAAGGATATACTCGTAATCCATAGCCTGTGGTATTTACTGACCCGTATCAATTGTTAAACTCTGCATTCATATTTTTAAATAAATGACACCAACGATTTATTAGAGACGATTTATGCACTATAAAAGTAATTAAGATGATCAATGATCATTCATTCATTGGTCATCTGTCAATTCTATACATACTGAAAATTCCAAAATTATGTACTTTACTTGTATCGGTAGTATTTCCTATTTTATTTTATTACTAGGTCTTTAACATAAAAGCCTATCTATTTCACAATGGTTTACAATGCCCTAGCAACACCTTTTGTGCTGTTGAATCTTACAGTAGTTTGCTCCTTTTCTTCTAGAAGACAATATATAATATTTTAATTACAGTGTTCATAAATTAACATTTTAAGAAGTATTATGAAGACAATCCGAGTTTCAGAGAATAGACGCTCTGAAGAAACACTACGTTAAACGTACGTTTGCTTAATATTCGGCTATTCTGCCAGGAAACCCGCAGAATATTCGATTTACGGCGTGTGGCCGAATATAATATTCGTAGCAAGTTTATTATAAAAACATAAATAAGACTTGGAACTTATCTGAATTGACTGATTGAAAATCTAACATGTTTCCAAACCACACATGCTAACGTGCAACAGCAATCACTTCTACTTTTCTCGTCTTAAATGATGAGACTATTCCATAAAATTCTAGTACTGTATGTAACCTCAGCCTATCCTGAACGCATCGTAATATTGTAAAGTTAGTCCGTACAGTAATTGCGTTGCATCGGCGCATGGCCGCCATGATAAAGTTATTTTACCCGCGAATATTGCATAGTACTTATATTGACGTTTTGATTTTGCTACGCTTTTTGGAATAATTGAAGTGATTATTTTACCATCGATTGAAATATTCTTGAATTCTTTGGATTTACTATTTGAAGATTTGATATTGTGCAGAATCGTGACGCAAAAAGATTGTGAAAATATATATATACACACATACACATACGTATATAGTGTTAAATCTAAGAATTAAATATATAGTAATATTTGCTAATATACTTTCAACACAAAGAGTTATTGAATGGGAAGGAACTGACTCCTGAAATAAAGGTATCCTAGTTTGGGAGTCAGGGTTCAATGATGTTGTAATGAAACAGAAGTGTCAAGTAAAGTTATTTATTTATTATTTATTTATTTATACATTTAGATTTATTATATAATTTATTATATTAGATTAATTTAGATCAACAGCCGTGGTAGCTCAGATGGTTAGCGCTCGCTGTAAATTTCACAACACGCGAGCAAACCGGGTTCGATCCTCGCCGGCACCAATGAAATTATTAATTGCAATTTTAATTGCTGATTTATCACGTGCTCGGCGGTGAAGGAAAACATCGTGGGGCAGTTTCCCCACGATGTCGACATGTTCACCATACTGCTGTAGTTTACTGGGGATGCATGCAGTTAGCGTGTCAAGTTAAAATTTTAATTTTCTTTCTTCTTTTCAAATGAATTTTTAACATATTTATTAACCACTAGCTATCCTATAGTTATATGGTTAGCGCTCGTTGTAAATTTAACAGTACGCGAGCAAACTGGGTTCGATACCCGCCGGCACCAATGAAATTGTTAATTGCAACTTTAAATGCTGATTTACTACGTGCTCGGCGATGAAGAAAACATCGTGAGGAAACCTGCATGTCAGAGAAATAAGAAAAAAATATTTCGAAGACATGTGAAGTTCGCCAACATGCATTGGGCATGCATACCCTCCGCAGCCGAATCTTGGTTGGCGGCGGAGCCATAGACCAGATCCGCCGCTGGGGTCGGGAAGGCTAGTACTTCTAAGTGCTCGTTTTTCCTGGCCCCATGGCCTTTGTGCATCGGACGCGGGGGCGTCTGTTGCACAGACGTAGTTGGAGGCCGTGGAGGAAGGCGCGCCATGTGTTCTGGTGCGCCTTACCTGGGAAGGAGAACGGGGAGGAATTTTCCTCTCCCGAGGAGGTGCTGCCATGGGGCGGCAGGCGCTAGTAGGGCTGCGGATGGGTGCGAAAGCGTTCCCGTAGCCCTGCCAATATGCGACAAAGGTGGAACACCATGGGGTTTTAGTCGGTGCGAGTCCGACATAACCCGTCCTTGCCCCCCGCGAGGCGGGTATGCGTAGGCATTTCCCCATGCAAAAAAAAAAAAGGTTTTTGTTACATTTTGTATATAGTTGTACTAACTGACTGAAATATAGTACGATACTATATATTGTAGTATGGGTGGCAACCCTACCTCCACGCTAGGATTTTGCCCTGTATCGTGGCAGCAGTTTAAATACGTAAATTTCACAAGGACAAGCATCGAGACTTAAAACAATTATAAGAAGGCAATTCGCCACGAAGCCGTCGATTTTAACAACTTTGTAAGTATCTGTCAACGGTTAAAATCAGAAACTCCTTTCGGGAAATTTTAATCAACGAGATCTTATTGTTCTTCCCCCTACACTCCTCTGACGACACCTACGAGAAGAAACGGTATGATAAATGCTGTTACGTCACTATCACTCGGGTTAGGTCGACTCGCTCTATGTACCCTTTTTATATAGGAATGAAATAAAGATTAAAATATAAAAGTAAATTGATTCAATAGTAATTGCTTTTCTTTCAATTTTAATATGTTTGTCATCAATAATTCTGTACCTGTTTGTGATGAGAAAATAAAAATAATTCTATTATATTCTAAAATAAAATATAAAAATGAAAAAGGTTATTTATACTTACCTCAAAACTTGGTTAGTGCAGACGATAACCGGCCTCTGTGAGTTCTCCAGGTTGTCTTTTAGCTGCAAAACCGTATGTACCCAGAGGAACTGTCCGCAGCGACGCTGAAGCCGTAACAGGGCTATGCAGGACCGTTCTTGCTCAGACTGCGTTACTGTGTGAAGAGATAGTTTAATTATAAGTTGTCCTTTGATCCACTTTCGACCTTACGAAATTATACTTAGTAAAATTATTAAATACGTTAAAATCAACATCAGCCTACGGTAGTGCAATGCTGGATTCAAATTTTAATTCCAAGCACGCAGTTTACAAGTGAGTGAAGTATCTTTTATACGCATCGATCACTAATAAAAAACTAGTGATCGATGTTTATACATAACTAGCTGATACCCGGCGCGTTACTGCTGCTGAAGAAATATCTTTTTATAGAATAAGGTTGACAAACGAGCCCACAGACCACCTGATGGTAAGTGGATGCTGTGGCCCATAGACATCTACATTTAACCTCGATTAAGAATCAAAATGCAGATGCGTTGTCACCCCTGAGGACTAAAATGGAATGCCTCATTTCCAGCAAAATGGTTCTCCAGTTCTGTACACTCACCATACGAAACACAGCAGCATTAAGCTGCTATTTTACGCTAGTATTCTGTGAGTGCGTGGTCCTTCTCCGGTCGAGCCGACCTATAAATGATACAACCATAATATATCTGCAGCATGGCTCTACCACGTATGAAAGTGAATGATATAATATTATAATATTCTAATAATTTTTTCAGTACAATACGCGCGCCACCTACTATAAGTTAACTGTACTATGCCTGTAACCTTCGCGCAAATGCAAGCAATAAGTAGAAAAAAAATTAGCACAATCTCATGAAGGGTATGGCAGCACATCAGATCAGATACGAACAAACAAACATAAATGTTTAAATCAGAAGAAAATATGCAAAGTTTTAATTATCAAGTGAATAATTATTCGACAAAATTTATATTGATACATTTATAAAAACAATCACCCAATATGATACCCAACAAACAAGCAATCACAAATTCAGCCGTAATTGAGCGTGAATTGTAATAATTAAGTGGATCTAAAATTAGACCATTGTTAATGTTCAGATTATCGAGCATAAGCTAAACATTCGCGGTCTAACTAAGTACCTGTTTAACTCTAATATGTCACAAATTATCTTTGGATGAACATCGAAATAAACTTTAGAGGATGGATTTTACAGTTTCTATTTCAATGCACTTTTGTTGTAATGGGTGTTAAGTTTGACAGTGGCGTTGTTATAGTAATTTACATGCGTCAAGAATAGGTTGGACGAATGATGGGAGAGTAAATCTTGCCCTTCCATATATGGAATGCTATTCATGTCTGTCGGACTGTCAGTTTGTTGGATAATAATCGCTAGAATAATTTGGATGTCTTTGCATAACAAGAATGATATGCTATATAACTTTAATAGGTGGAACAACTGAGTAAACCGACTAGATCAGCAGACTGAAGTAGCGATGGGCTGGCCATAATTTTATCTCTGAGAACTGACTATTCATAGGAAAGAATGGTTCTCGAGTGGCAGTATCGTACTAGGAATAATTTACTTGACATACTATATTTTGTGCTACGTTGTAAGTTTAACCGTAAAATATGCTTTTTAAATTACTTGTTCAGACCATGATAATATTTAAGCAGCACCATAACTTAAATTTAACTACGTGTTGATTTCTTATATTTACGCGAACACTACACATTAAATGAAACTCATAAATAAATGAAAATAAACTAACGGGAAGGGGGAGGGGGGTTACTGCCACTATACCACTGCAAGACTTCAAGACATAATAAGTTTATTCAGCGTAGATCGGACCAAAAGCAATAATTAAAAAGCTGAAGTTATTCTGGGTTAACTCTAATAACTCTATAGCTTACATCAGGATGTCAATAATCTCAGTCCACTCTGTGACCATGGGTGCTGCAAAGTACTCGAAACGTCGGTAATTAAAAAGAAATTAAACGCGATAAAATCCGTAACAATTAGTTTCATTTAACTACTTGTTTCAAGGATTTAATTAAGCAACGTAAAACCGCGGTGTTAATTTATTTAAGTTCAAAGTTTAACTAGAAACGAACATGCTATAAGAAATTTTATTACGACTATTATTTTATCTCGCGATCGATAAATTACAAAAGCAAATAAGCTATAAACGGGATATCAAGCGGAGTTAGCTTTAATGATTGCTAGTGTTTCTACGCGACCCTTTTTATCTGGCCTAATTATTTACAATCCGATATCTTTATATGATTGAATATTATACCTGTCGAAGCTAAAAAAGGAATAAAGTTTCTGTAATTGCTCTTATATATTTATTGATTTAGATAGGTCTTAGGCCCGGTTTACATTTTGAGAAGTGACAAGTGCGAGTAACAACTGACACGTTACAAATGACAAGTGCTTAGTGCGCATTTTATTCCCACTTAAGGGGATAGAGTAAGTCAGCTCAAATTCTAATTTCTACCCACTTGCCCGCGCGTCGTATGCTATGTACCGACATGTTTGTAATCACTAATACTGTAAGGAGAAAGGTCGTTAGACACTTATTTCATTAGGTTTATCATATTTATGCCTGTTTCTTAACGCCAAGCCAGTCGCTTCCTATTTTTATTACGGTTATTTCCCATTTTAATTTTACGTCGTCCTGTTGCGTAATGTATATTCTGATCGTAAGCAATAACCTCCCCGTTCAAAGGCCGAAGCGAAGTGACCGTGCGGCTGGAATCACGCTTCAAGAGGCCGATAGTTTAGGTTAATTTCTTTATACAGTGAAAATAATGGTATTTTAAAAAAAATAAATAACATAAGCACTGCTTTATAGTTAGTTCAGTTAGTATGCACAGTTTCATGATCTTATTTAAAGTATTTTATGAATAACAGCGGTTTATTGTTTATTTTGGAGGTAACTTTGGATTTTTTTTTTCCATCGAGAAAATTTTACGAAATCGTGTTTTCGTCTCACATAATCCTTAACATTAATCCTCAACTTTACCATATATTTATTTCAAAATTAATGCTGCAATATTTTCGGTATAACGAAGGATCTTGCTAAGCCATTTGAGATTATATTTCCCCTTAACACTTCTGCCTGTTCACACGCACTAAGCACTTGTCATTTGTCAGTTGCACTTGCCACTCGCACTTGTCACTTCTCAAAATGTAAACGAGGAAAATTTGTTTTAGTTTCCACCGTGGCAGTAACCTGCAGTTTTGTTTATTTTTGTAGTGATTATTAGAAAGACGCTGGTGCCCATCTCCTGTCTCAGTTTCCCTCTTAGGACACCCACGGGACGATATGGGGTAGCGGATATTCTTCAGCTACACGGTCTAAGCCTTCCTATATCTCTGCAAATCCACAAAGGCAAATTATCTAGTGACTTAAATAAATCAACGTTTTAATCTGTTGTTATAATTAATATCGATTTGGTATAGGTCTCTTTTAAAATATGCAGTTTAATCGAACGCCGTCATCCGGTAGTACATCCGTGTGGGTAACATTAAAGGACCTTCGATCACCAACATTTATTGCGTTTAATTTATGATAGTTCTGTTTCTATTAGCTATTCCTATTTTAATGACTTAGACTCAGTCTCTAGGTACTCTAGACAGTTCACAGTAAATAGTAATAAAGTTTTTTTTTGTTTCTGTCATTATCCCACAGCATGAGTCGCATGGCCCGCGTTCGTTGGAGGAATATGATCTCCAATCTCGTAAATAAATTAAGTGAAGTACCAGCCAACATACGGCATCCTTTCATTCTCAAGATATAATCAAGAAAAGAGCCTAATTTTTTCTGAAACACCGGCAACGCATTTTTAATTCCTCTGGTGTTGCAGATGTTTATGGGCGGCAGTGATCACTTACCATCAGGTAATCCGTATGCACGATTGCTCCTTTTTCTAAAAAGATTCTACTGTCTATTTTCTGTTTGATTTCCTTCTGTTGCCTCTTACGACACCCAAGGGATGGTACGGCGTGGTGTGGTGGATTTTTTTGCGCCACCACCATGATGATCCACTACATGATGAACTACGTGTAGCTTAATGCGGTTCATTAAACTTAGGTGCATCAAATTTTTCATAGCTAAATTATTATTTATATATCATATTTATTCCCATACTATCTCTTACAGCCTATTAAAGTCCAATGTTAAACAATACAAACAACATCGCCAGATACCAGCCACCATAGATTGCCACTTAAAAGAGATATTTGCCACGATTAGATTAGATTAGTTGGGTTAGGAATTGTAGTATTTTAATAATTTAAGTTGTTGTATCAGGAAAATTTTGTTGCCTATCTCAACGTTTACACACAAAAATAGTTGGTTCCTAAATTAACCCTTTCCTTGTGCCATGAATCATATTTGAACATTTATATATCATATTTATTATATATATTGACTAGTGTCTAAGATACAGGCTCGGCCTAGTTTAGACGCTAGTGTATAAAATTGTATAGATAAGTTATAACTCATACCATTTGTTCAAATGTCTTAAAGATAGATAATGTAATCCTTACATTGTGTCAATAAAAATTATTATTATTTACGGTAAGTGTTTTCACTTCTCAGCTCTAGGCTGGATTTCAACTACATTTACGGGCCGAAGCCAAAGCAAATGCAGCGTGTGGTGTGTAGTGTAGTTCATGTGATTTGATGAGGTCCTATTTCATTTTCTTCTATCTGCATGAATTTCCTAACTATTCTGCATGTATTTAATATAGCTGCTTTTTGAAGTGTAATATATAGAGTTTCTTTTAGTTGTAATAATTTTAAGCTACGGAGGAGATGATTTGGGATGACACCTGTTGTGGAGAGGACTATAGGGACCACATATACTTTTTTCTTGTTGCCAGATTCTAGTCACTTCATCTTTAAGTTCTGCGTACTTACAAATTTTTTCAGTTATCGTCTTCTGCAAGTTGTGTGTGTTGGGGACTGCAATGTCTATCAGGTAAGTAATATTATTTATTTTATCTTGTAGAATTATATCTGGTCGGTTATAGTGGATTGTCCTATCGGTGAGAATGCCGCGGTCGTAAAAAAGTTTATGTGTGGTGTTTTCTAGAGTATGTTTTGGTGTATAATTGTAGT